CTCGACACCAGAAGGGGTGCGCAAGGGGGGGTCTCTCACCGCGGCCTGCCTCTATACGCGCCAATGTCGCAGGGCCTAGCAGGGGTGGCACTTTCTCGGCACCGGAGGGGGTGCGCAGGGGGTGGTCTCTCACCGCGGTTCCTATACGTGCCAATGTCGCAGGGCCTAGCAGGCGTGGCACTTTGTCGACACCAGAGGGGGTGCGCAGGGGGTGGTCACACACCGCGGTCCCTATACGCGCCAATGTCGCAGGGCCTAGCAGGCGTGGCACTTTGTCGACACCAGGGGGTGCGCAGGGGTGGTCTCTCACCGCGGTGCGCCAATGTCGCAGGGCTTAGCTGGTGCGCCTCGCATACGCGCCAATGTCGCAGGCTTAGCAGGCGTGTTTCTCGACACCGAGGGGTGCGCAAGGGGGTGGTCTCTCACCGCGACGCGCCAATGTCGCAGGGCCTAGCAGGCGTGGCACTTCCTCGACACCAGAGGGGTGCGCACGGGGGTGGTCTCTCACCGCGGGCTCTATACGCGCCAATGTCGCAGGGCCTAGCAGGCGTGGCACTTTCTCGACACCGGAGGGGGTGCGCAGGGGGTGGTCTCTCACCGCGGTCTCCATACGCGCCAATGTCGCAGGGCCTGGGGTGCGCAGGGGGTGGTCTCTCACCGCGGTCCCTATACGCGCCAATGTCGCAGGGCCTAGCAGGCGTGGCACATTCTCGACACCAGAGGGGGTGCGCAGGGGGTGGTCTCTCACCGCGGTTCCTATACGTGCCAATGTCGCAGGGCCTAGCAGGCATGACACTTTCTCGACACCGCAGGGGGTGCGCAAGGGGGTGGTCACTCACCGCGGTCCCTATACGCGCCAATGTCGCAGGGCCTAGCAGGCGTGGCACTTTGTCGACACCAGAGGGGGTGCGCAGGGGGTGGTCTCTCACCGCGGTCTCTATACGCGCCAATGTCGCAGGGCTTAGCAGGCGTTGCACTTTCTCGACACCGGAGGGGGTGCGCAGGGGGTGGTCTCTCATCGCGGTCCCCATGCGCGCCAATGTCGCAGGGCCTAGCAGGCGCGGCACTTTCTCGACACCGGAGTGCGTGTTCAGGGAGTGGTCTCTCACCGCGGTTCCCATACGCGCCAATGTCGCAGGGCTTAGCAGGCATGGCACTTTCTCGGCACTGGAGGGGGTTCGCAAGGGAGGGGGAGACGGGAAGGACCCCGAGCCGGCGTCATTCGACGAAGCCGGCGTGCACGCTACCCCGGGCGCCTACATCATGGACTTCGTGGCTGGCTTGCCAGAGAACAAGCGGCTCACTCGAGACCAGATCATCTTCGCCATGCGCTTTGCTGATGCCTGCGACCAGGTCTGGCGCGACGAGAAGAACGGCCCCCCCTGCCACCAGCGCAAGGTCCACCACATCCTCCTGCTGGGCCAGGGTGGATCTGGCAAGACGCGCGTGGTGCAGGAGCTCGTGTCCAAGGCGGTGAACCACATCTGGCCGCAAGAGAGCAAGGCCAGTCCGAGCCTCGTTGTGGCGGCCTTCTCCAACGCTCAGGCCAAGAACATCTCGACGGTGGACGTGGAGGCCATGACGATCCACGGAGCTGGGGGCATGGCCGTGCAGGAGCTGACGAACGAGAAGATGCGGCCCAGCGCCGAGAAGCTCAAGAAACTGGAGCAGCGCTGGCGCCGAGTGCGCGTGCTTGTCATGGAGGAGATCGGCATGATATCTGCGGCCCTCTACAACATGCTGGACTTCAGGAGCATGTTCGGCAGGCGCCAGGAGTTCGCCGTGGACGAGTCCAACTACAGGAAGGACCACCATCACTTCGGGCGGGTCCCCATCGTCATTCACCTGGGTGATTTCCTCCAGCTCACCACGACGAAAGCCATCGGGCTCATCAGGGACGTCCAGGAGAAAGACGAGGACGGTAACTACATGCTGGATTCGCCTCCGAGCGTGGAAGTGCAGCACGCCATCAGAGTGTTCGGCAAAGTGCCCCGCGTGATCGAAGTGAAGGGCACCAAGCGCTTCAAGCCTGGCGACCCGCTGATCGAGCTCCTGGCCTGCATGCGCCTCGCGCGCTGGATTCCAGACCGTGTATGGGCCGCCTTCCAGGCTCGGGTCGCCACCGACTGCACGACCGGAGTGAGGGACCCGAGGCACGACGAGGAGAAGTTTGCGACTGGTTTCGGAATGGCCTGGTACTGGAGCGCGCTGAACCGATGGATATCTCGCCGGAGCATGATCGACTCTCGCGCCATGGGCGTGCCGTTGGTTTTCCTGCAGTCGAAGGACGAGGGCGTCGCTTGCAGTACACCACAGGAAACTGAGAATGCTTGCAAAAGGCTGCTGAACGTGCCGAACCCTGGCGACACGGGACACATGCACGGAGTTCTTCTGGCGCACGTGGGCATGGAGGTGAGATTTACCGTCAAGGTGTCCAAGCGCAAGAGCTTGATCCAGGAACTGAAGGCCACCATCGTGAGCTTCGTGTTCGAAAGCAGCGACCAGGACAGGTACGACGCCTGCGCCCAGGGAGAGATCTTCCGCCCGCGCTGTCTGCCTGCCGGAATCTGGATGCAGGTGCACAACGTCGAGAAACAGAGCCCAGACGCGGTGAAAGCTGTCGTCAACTCCTTCGGAATTCAGCAAGAGAAAGCCAACGGCCTGTTCTGTTTCCCGCTCATGGAGGCGCACTTCAAGTGGCAGAGCGCCAACATAGTGCACAAGGTCAAAAGGTTTGGGTACGCGCTCACGCACGGGCGCTTCCTGACGTCCACCTCTTCACAGGGCCAGACGATCCGCACCGGAGTGACCATCGACTGCGCGCAGGACACGAGCATTGGCAGACCGGAGGAAAGATCAGAGAGCTGGTGTCTGCACTTGTACGTGATGCTCAGCAGAGTCACTTTTATGGACGATATGCTCTTACTTCGGCCGCCGCCAAGGGAGGTCCTGCAGAAAGGCCCGCCTCCGTCCGTGCTCAAAGCCCTCCGGAAGTTCGATGAGCGCATGGCCACGGAGACGCGGGATATCGAGGCCCTCGCCCTGGAACGCCAATGGATCCTGCCAGCGGCGTGAGGTTGTCGGAGCGCACGGCCGCCAGAGTCTTTCCGACAAAGGCAGCGCTGTCCAGCCGCGTCGAATTCGCGCGGCCCGTGCCGCTTCTGGACGATTTCGGAGCGCACGCCCAGCTTCGGTTGTCGTGGCAACCACAGCCCAGAGATTTTCCATCCAAGATCACTCGCATGTCGCACGCAGGCGGATCACGTTTGCCATGCAAGTCTTTTGCGCGCACACCTCAGAGACTCTCCGTCGAGAAGACGCGGCGACAGACGCGTGGAAACTGCATGAGACTAGAAAGAGTAGACCGACCGAGGAAAGAAAGGGAGGCAGCGGCGCGGGAGAACGCAGCATGCGGCGAGGGGGTGTGATTTGTGCCAACTTCCATGTGGCCCCCCTGACTACTCGAGCTGCGGCAACTCGTTTTGCATCACCTCGTTGGTCGTTGCGATCCCAGGAAACGGCCCTCGGTGACCATCTCGAACTTTTCCCCGATGAAGGATAGAATGCGGGGAAGAGGGAGGAGGTTCACTCAGTAGTGTGTTGGATGGCAATATTGGGAAACATTCGCGACGAGGGTTTAGAAAGCATGATTCCGCGTAGATGATCATAAAAAAGCAAGCACATACTATTAAACTTAAGTATGCGGGGTTCCTCGGTAGCGTAATTTGCCCCCCCCCCCCCCCGCCGCCACCTCCGCGTCGAATGCGCGAGATGGAGTTCGTCTTCTACTATGGAGGTGGTGGTCGGGGGGATACGTGACCTAGGCCTTGGCATGTTATCATTCGGCCCTGTGGGCCCCGCCTCCTCCCCCCTCCTCGTGGCCCATCGAGGCTTCCATGGTTTCTTTCCTCTTCCTCGGCGGGGTCTTGGGCCCAGAGGCTGTTTCCTGAGGCCCCCTCCTTCTGCCTCAGCCACCCGCTGAGTCAGGGGGTGGGAATTAGGTCACGACGCGCGGGCTCGGTGCAAATCTGGGCGCGCCCTCAGCGCGCGGCCGCGGGCGCGGGCGCGCGCTGCAGCTACGGCGGACAGACCGCCGCGTGGCCGTCAGCGCGCAAGGAGGAGGAGGAGGAGGAGGAGGAGGAGGAGGAGGATGAGGAGGAAGACGAGGAGGAGGAAGGGGGGGGAGGGGGAGGGGGGGAGGAGGAGGAGGAGGAGGAGGAGGAGGAGGAGGAGGAGGAGGAGGAGGGGAGGAGGAGGGGAAGAGGGACGTGGATGAGAAGTAGGAGCAGCAATGGGAAAAGGAAGAGGAGGAGGAGGAGGAGGAGGAAGAGGAGGAGGAGGAGGAGGAGGAGGAGGAGGAGGAGGAAGAGGAGGAGGAGGAGGAGGAGGAGGAGGAGCTTTTTGGTAGAGACCGTTGCCATTTTAAGCTCAAGACAGAGTCGAGCATTAGCAGACACGTACAGGAGGAGGAGGAGGAGGAGGAAGGAGGAAAGAGGAGGAGGAGGAGCAGGAGGAGGAGGAATGATGAGAGAATATGAGAGAGGAGGAGGCAGAGGAGTGAGGGAGGGGGAGATGAAGGAAGTGGGCAGGGAAGGGGGGTGGAGGGAGAGACGCACAGAGGGACACAGAGTTATGCATGGAGAGATGAAGTCATTGAGAATGGGCGGAGAAGAGATGGATAGAGGGAAAGAGTTATTGAGGACAGTTCTGAACGGATGCGAAGTCTTCGTGCTGCATCGGCTTGAGATTACTCAGCGCATCTGCACCTCAGGTTTCCGAGGGGAGCACATAGGGGGCCCTGGACGGTGGTGGCTCCCTACTTAGATGCCCGGGTGGCACCCTGCCCGCCCAGACAACGAGAAGCATCCGTTGGAGTGCGACCCAATGGCCGCCTGGGAACCGACCTTGGTCGACATCCCAGAGGCACCGTCGTCGTCGTCGTCGGCGTCGTCTTCGTCGTCGAGGGTGCATCCCCACTTTTGTTTGTGCTGCGCCTCGAGTGGCCACGTTGCCTGGGGCGGCGGACCTGTGGGATCCCTGCCAGCTTGTGTGCATAGACGAGCTGGTGAGCCTGGTGGTGCGCGCGTGCGACGTCGACACCGACCGCATCTACGCGAGCAGGGGATGGGGGGGGATGGGAGGTGGTCGGCGAAGGAGAGATTGACGGCTCGCGGGGGAGGCTGGGTCAGGGAGGGAGCGAGACGAGCGAGGGTGGGGGAGGGAGGGAGGCAAGCCGCCGAGTAAAGCGAGCGCCTGCGCTTACCGCGCTGCGCAACTGCGCAAGAAGATGGCATGGGGGTGGGGTGGGTGGGCACATTCCAGCACTCAAGTGGGAACGTTGACGTATGAGCCACTCGGGGCAGCAGGCACCACTGTCATAGACAGGCCGTGCTTAATTTTCGGAGCGGAGGCCGTTGCTCTGGATAGGGCTTCGCGGGAAATGCACGCCTTTTCCATTTCATGCAGCTGCACCAGCAGTTGAAACCTGTGTCTCCTGAGCTGCGGGACAGAACAGAACACGGGCAGGGACGGCAGGGGCGGGAGGGCGGAACGGCGGGAGAGACGGGGGACGGCGGAGCGGCGGGTAGCGCTACACCGTTACATCGTTAGCGTAACGGTGTAACGGTGTAGCGGTGCAGCGTTGTACCGTTGCGGCTAACGGTGTAACGGTGTAGCGGTGCAGCGCTACACCGCTAGCGTAACGGTGTAACGGTGTAGCGGTGTAGCCCTACACCGTTGCCAGCTAACGTTGTAACGGTGTAGCGGCGTAGGCAAAAATTAGCGCCCTGGATCCCCCCCACCCTGCCGGGAGGGGCTAGACCTCGGGGATCGACGATTTGAAAAAGTCACGACGTCGTGGGTTTGGGAACTACCCCAAACCAAACCGAAGGCTCCAATTTGCCCCCCATTTCCAGTGGAGGGGGGGGGGCGCAGGGGAGCATTGAGAAAAACACCGGCCCCCCCCCTCCAAACCCGAAATGTGGGTCTTCGGGTTGGTTTGGGGTGGTCTGGTACGTAGTCACTAGTCAGTCCCTCTGGTCTGGGTGGGGGACCCTGCTCGTGGCCAGGGCGTTCCTTGTGGCAGCTCGCAGCAGGCAGTTGGGCGTTGCGTGATGGGGTGTCGATGAAGGAGACGGGGCGACGAGAGCTGCATCGCGTGTGCACCTCAGGGGCCCTGCAGGGGCCCCCTGGGGTCCAGAAGGGGCACGAAAGGTGCGCGCTCCTTCGCCCCCCAGCTTGTCGCCCCCACATTTAGCAATGCCCAAGGTAGGGCCCCTGGAAGAGAAGCCAGCCTGGGGTCCGCCCCGGGAGAGGCCCAACGACCCGCTGACGACCCGTCGGCCGCCCGGCGACGACGCCTGCGACCCGCGCTCGCTGCGCCTCGTGCCGCCTGCGACCCGCGCCCCTTCGTTCTTTTTTGCAGCATCCTGTGGTGTGACGGTTGATGTCTGCCCCGTTCGATGGCCAGATGAGCAACCGAAGATAACGGGGGCGATTGCGCCGACATCCGCGGGTCAGCTGCCCGCGTAAGGTCGCGCGTACGAGCCCTCGTTTCCAGCGCAGCGTGCCGCGCTGGCGGCCCGCGTAAGCCACGGTGTAAGGTCGCTGTGCCATCTCGCATAGACCTGTTTGTTTTCGTTGCTTAGACTTTTGGGCGTCGCGTAATGGAGGGGCGATGAATTGGGGGCAGCGAGGGCTGTCTGCAGAAAAGGTGCCCTTTAGGGCCCCTGAAGGGGCCCTTTAGGTACAAAAGGAAGCCTTTAGGGCCCGAGAAGTGCACCGTTCTTCCTCCCTCATTTATCGCCCCCCAACTTAGCGACGCCCACGACGTCTCTTCTTGCTCGGTGTCACGTCATGGGGTACTTCTTGTTGGCTTCCAGAATCGGCATCGTGAGCAGGGCGTGGCGTGACGGTGCACGTCCGTGCCCACAGGATGCCGGACGGGAAAAGAGGTACGCGTCGGTCGTTGAAAGCAGGTTATCTTGGAATCCCAGATCCCAGTCTACTATCGGCGCCTTCCTACTTGAATCATCGAGTGTTTTTTCCTTTTCCTTCCTCTTCAGGGGGCGGGCGGAAGCCCAATCTTCTTCCAACTCCTTCCTACTTCATGTTTCTACCCACTTCTTCCGACCGACGTGTACCAGGGTCGTCTTGTTGAGGCGACTGTCTTCACATGATTCGCAGGAGCTGCGTTCGTTGGGGGACCCTCCAGCACGAGAGCCCGAGAACACAGATCCTCCCTGGACATGTTGGGGGGGGGATCCAAAGATGCCCTCGAGGCGGCTCCAGCCGTGGCCAGGAGAGCCTGCCAGAGGGGCTCCCAGACGGGCCGAAAACGATCCGAACGTACGAGAAAACCCGCAGGGACCTTCGAAGCCCTCGGGCACAGGCGCAGATGGTCATCCCGCAGGCCACTGCGCAAGTCGTCGTCTTTTTCAGTATCGTTCATTCGACCCCTCTCCCCATCCCCCCCCCAGACCCCCACCATCTCAGCATCCCAGTCTGGGATATAACCCTCGAAACCCGAAGAAAAGGACTACATCCCATCTAGGGGGGTACATATCGGCCAGTGGGGCCCAGGCCACGCCCATGGGAACTTGTGGTGTCCAAAGCCCGGATATCGAGGACAGACGATTCTGAGAAGTCCTCCACAGGAACTATGGAAGCTCTGGGAAGGAGCTTCTGGAAAGCTTGACGGCACACGTATTGGGAGACAGTTAGGAAAGGCCTTCCGGGACCCGCTGCGAGTTCAAACAGGTCGCTCTGGGGATCCTGGACCGCCACCGGAAAGAGCTCCAGGGCAACCTTGCGTTGCTGGTATAATCTCACAGCCCCTTTAGCGCTCTACGAGCTATCGGGGAATAAGGGTCGGTTAAATGATGCTGACGTCTTATTAGGGTATCGTAGGCTCTGCGCACAAGCGCCTGGGAGGAGCTCCAGGCCCGGGGAGCAGCTTCCTCCTCCGTCCTCATATTCCCTCCTCCCTCTCTTCTCCATGTTCCTCCTTCATCTTCGGTCCTGGACGGACTTTCATCCCTGCTCCCTCTTCCCTCCTCCCTGTCCTCATCTCGCCTCCTCCTCCCCCTCTTCACATCCCTGTCTCTTCGTGTCCCTCCTGTCCTGCCCTCCTCCGTCCCTCAAGAGGCCTTTTGAGTGATCCGAAGCTTCTAACCCTGCCCACCCACCGTGGTCACTGTCCCTTCGTCCTCCCTCCCAGGCGCCGTTGGCTTTGAATTTGCCGTCTCACTGTTTCTGCCCACTTTTATTGTGGCCAGTGTGCCTCCTCCTCCTCCTCCTCCTCCTCCTCCTCCTCCTCCTCCTCCTCCTCCTCACCATCACCATCGCCATCACCATCGCCATCACCATCACCATCACCATCACCATCATCATCATCATCATCATCATCATCATCATCATCATCATCATCATCATCATCATCATCATCAGTATCAGTATCAGTATCCTATTCTTTCCTTGTTACTCCTTCTCCTCCTCTCTCCTTCGCCTCCTCCTCGTCCTCCTACTCCTCCTCCTTCCCCTCTTCCTCTCCTCTTTTCACCTCCTCCTTCTCTTCCTCCTCCTCCTCCTCATCGTCATCATCATCACCCCTCCTCCTCATTTCTCCTTCTCCTCCTCCTCTTCCTCCTCCTCCTCCTCCTCCTCCTCCTCCTCCTCCTCTCTGTTACTTCTCTTTAGAAAATCATATAAGCTTAGCGATAGTATTTGCGGCATTCGTCATGACTGGAGCTATTCAGATATCATTCGCGGCATCATCATGTGTAAATGCATATCTGTTCAGTTAGGAGGCAGTCCAAGCTTGTCGCGTGAATGCTTCGGCGTCGCTGCCAGACTGGTCAAACATCCACATGTTTGCGTGTCTGTCTTGGCGCTCACATTTGCAGCAATTCCCGGACAGCTGGGCAGCCAGAGCGTCAGACGAGCAAGATCACGATTGCGTCAACTCGCGAATGCGCGTTCGGGTGTCTGCGTCCAACATGTCCTTTAAATCCTTGTGTAGAAAGGGGCGTGGCAAGCAAGGCCCACCGCTGTGACGAGTCTGGCTGGAGCTTCCGTTGTCATCTGGCGGGGACGCGTGACCCCAAACTTTGCGCAGCCTTGGCTGCCAAGACTGAACATGAGAAACCTGTTCTTGAGTTACCGTGGCAGCTGGGACAATCCCCCTCCCGTCGGGCGCACCATTATTATTTTCTGTCCTCCTCCAATCCTCTGTTCTCCTCTCCTCGCTCCGAATCGCTCCCCTTTTCAGATGGCGCATGCCACGACGGGGTCCTCTGGGGGGGCCCAGGTTCGCAATGACACCCGAAGGCGGATAAAGAACATGCAGCGCAATGGGAAGCGATGGGTGGCAGTGGTAGGATATCAAATATGGCGCGAGGATAGAAGCAATCACGCAATTGGAAGGGATGGGTGGAAGGGGTAGGATGTCACCTGGGGCGCGAGCGCACCTGCCTCATTATTCTTCCTCCGTTTTCTCTCTTCTCTTCTCCTCTCCTCTCCTTGCCTCCGCTCCCTCCCTCGCTCCCTCCCTCTCTCCCTCCCTCTCTCGCCAGGAGGGGCCCGATGCTCCCTCCCCCCGCCGCGGGCGGGCGTCGCCGGCCCCCCGATGGACCCGGCCGCGGCGGAGGGCCGCTGCTGGAGGGTGGTGGGCGGCCGCGACCTGGGCGGCATCATCGCCAGGCAGGGCAAGGCCCCGCCGCGCGCCGCCCGTCGCTCGCTTCCCGCCGCTCAGAGGATCGGTGGTTCAAAGGTGGGGTCCTGAGGGATGAGGTGCCTCAAACAACGACGGTACATCCTTGGGTTCTTTCCTGTCCATGGGCCCTTATCCCTCAGGACCCCACCCTTGAACCCCCGAGAGGAGGGAGAGGTACCGATGCCGCTGCCACGGATGCCTTTGTGAGGAAGGTGGGGGTGCCAAGGCAGGAGTCAGGAGAGGAGAAGATACCATTACGGCGACACTTCCCGCGTTTTCCCTGTTTCGGCCTCATGGGAGGCCCTCGTCGCCACCGCTGGATTCGGCTCGAAATCCTGGTCAGAACGCACCCCGTGAGAGGTCCAGGGAGTAACGATATTGGTACCTTCTGGTTTCCCCGAGGAGTGGGCGAAGCTCCTGGGACCACATGTGTGCGAGGTTTGCGGGGACGGAGACAGGCTACAAGATTTAGCTCAGGATCCTCAAGCTTGGAGGCAGCGATTGAGAGAGCGTTGTGGGTAGTGTACGCATGTGCGCTTGCCAACGCGCCCTGGGCGCATGGCTTCTGTCCCTCTGTGTACCCTTCCATCTTCCTCACGGCCGGTTTCGCCTCAAAGTCTGAGTCAGAACACACCCACCCAGTGGCGGTCCGTGCCGTAGCGATATGAGCATTTTTTTCCCCCAGTCGCCCGTCGCCCTCGTCCACGTCGTCGACGTCGTCGTCGTCGTCCTCGTCGTCGTCGTCGTCGTCGTTGTCGCCATCGTCATCGTCGTCGCCGTCGTCGTCGTCCACGTCCACGTCCTCGGCTTTGTCACTGCCCTTGTCGTCGTGCTGCTGGGCCCCTTCCTCGCAGCTGCCCTGCCCTGACGAAAGAGCGTCGCCGTAGAAATCACCACGGGTCTGTTCGTTCGTCCAGCTTGCCACCCCGTGCGTTCGTGGGTCGATCCTGCTCGAGAAGAGCTGCAGAGAGGTGGGGTCGGCAGCTCTGCTGTGATCTGTCCCGACCTCTGGAAACCGCTGCAACAATCGAGCGCCGCAGAGGATCATGGAGAACTCCGAAACTCTGAGGAACAGACGGAGCAGCACGAGCAGAACTAGCAGGCGGACCAGGGGAAGTCGGAGTAGGGGGAAGGCGGGGAACGATGGGGGTAACGCACCGATCCTGAAATAGAGCCAACGCTGCAGCGGGGACACCGTTTATGAAGGACCGAAAGAGGTGTAATCGCACACGCACATCGAACAACGACAGCGACAATTACACATATACGGGAAAGGCCGCCCCCCGCACAAGGCAGCATCATCTCACAGAGGGCAAATGCACTCACATCAGCGAGGAGAGATCAGAGAAATAGGATGCAGATGTGGAGGAAACGGACGACAAAGAAGATAGGATTAAGAGGCAGATGATGGTGACCATGATTCTGATGATGGGGATGCCGATGAGCATGGTGGTGATGATGGTGATGATGATAATGATACGATGGTAATGATGCGCAGGAGGAGGAGGAGGACGAGGAGTGATACTAGATGATGGTGATGGCGATGATGATGCGGAGGAGGACAATGAGGCAGAGGAGGAGGAGGAAAAGGTGGAGGAGGCGGACGAGGCGGACGAGGATGAGGCGGATGATGAGGAGGAGGAGGCGGAGGAGGAGGCGGAGGAGGAGGAGGAGAAGAGAGGCGAGAGGCGATATGCAGAAGCGAGGAGGATGAACAGGTGAAGGAGGAGGAAGAGGAGGAGGAGGAGGAGGAGATGGAGGAGGAGGATGCTGAGGAGCAGGAGGGGGAGGAGGAGGAGGACGAGCAGGATGAGGAGAAGAAGGCTTCGCCCCCCGGTGACCTCCCGCAAGGAGCTCGGGTCCGACAGGCTCGGCGAGCGCCTCGCCGTGGGCGCCCTGCTGCGGCAGGAGCGGCTCGAGGACGGGCGCCTGTGCTTCCGGAAGCTGTCGGGCGAGGGCCCCGACCGCGGCTGCTCGGGGCGAAGCTGGTCGTCGTTGTTGTTCAGTCTTCGTCATGGCCGTCGTGGTCGTCGCTGCCGGTGTCGCCGCCTTCGCCGTCGCGGTCAGACGTCGTGTTGGTCGTCGCCTTCGTGGTCGTCGGTCGCGGTGGTGGCCGCCGTCGTCGTCCCGCCATGGCGGCGCCCCCCTCGCTGTGGGCGCTGCGGGGGGGTGGAAAGGGGGGGGCAGGGCATGTGCAGACGACTCGGCCTCAAGAAGCAGCGGCACGGATAGAGCGTCGATCGCTCGTCGCCGTTGCGTAGTCGTCGTGGTGGTATCCGTCGTCGTCTTTTTCGTAGGTCCTCTTCGTCGTCGTCATTGTTTTCTTCCACCTATCCGTCCTGTCCTCGTCTTCGCCCTCGTCGTTCGTCCTATTGCCCGTCGTCGTCCTCCTCCTCCTCCTCCTCCTCTCCTTGTCCTCCTCCTCCCCCCCCCCATCCTCTTCCTCTGCTCCTCCTCCTCCTCCTCCTCCTTCTCTCCCCCTCCTTCAGTTCACTGCTGCTCCTCTCCCACTCCTTCCTCCTTCTCCTCTTCCTTGCCCTCCTCCCTCCTCCCTTCTCTTTCCTCTCTTCTCCCTCCTTCCTTTCTCCTTCCATTTTCCCTCCATCCCTCCTCCCTCTCTCCATTCTTTTTCTCCATGGTCGTCCTCGCCTCCTCCACCCCCATTTGTTGTTACACAGCCCCGTCTCGTCCAGCCATCAGGCGTGTCGTTACGGCGCTCCTGCCAAATTCCCCAGAGTTCCTCCACGTTGTTTGCAAAGTGTGGCTCTCGCAGGAGCGCCGCGCACGTTCCTCTTCAAAGTGTCCCGCAGCTGCGTGGATGAAAGGTGGGCTAATTGCAGCATGTGGCTCTCGCCTCGGCGCCGCACACATTCGTGTTTGACATCTTCTAGCAGCCACTGCTGGACACGCCTTGAAACCTTGGTCAGAGGGTGTTCAGGAAAGGTTCCGGGGGGGGACTCGTCGCCACGGCCCGAGTAGAACAATGTCAACTGCCATCGTGGCCCAGGAACGTCGTCTCCCCTGGCGGTGCGCATGCATCAATTCCAGCCTCACATCGGATGCTGGTCGGATATCCCGAGTTCTTGCAATGACGCTTTGCCTCATGGGCCCCTACATCTACGAAAGTGTGCCCGTGACAGTGAGTCTCCTGGCGGCTGGTTCTCAGGGTGCATCCTTTGCACGGTCCTGGTTCCTCACGCAAAATTCGAGTTGTAAGTGTTTGGTCTCGTTCACATTAGTTTGGTTGTTCATTGCGCTACCTTGCCTTTGTATTGAGCTTTCTTGTATCGCATTCTCAGTTGCATTGCTGTGTGCTGCTGTATGATGTTATGTGCTGCATTGTTCTACGTTGCTTTGCACTTGTCTACTTTGTAGTGCGCTTGTTTGCATTGATTTGCATCGTGATTTGCATCGTGCTGCATATCTCATCACACTACATTATATGGCTTGCTTTGCTTTATAGTGAATGGCCTTGCGTTTAATCGTTCTGCAGTTGCCGCGGTTCGACATGATTCACATGTCTTGCGCTGTTTTGCATTTCATGGCGATGCAAAGAAATCCCACGCACGTCAATGTAGCGCACTGCGCGGCAATGTAGTGCACAGCGCTGCTAACCACAGCATGGCAATCCATCTCAAAGAACTCATGTGGAACTGCGTAACGCAATGCTGATCAACGAACGCAGTGCAAGTCAGCGCAATACATTTGCAATGCCCTGCACGGCAAAGTAAACCAAGCTACATGTGTTGTCCTTGGTTGGTATTTGGCCACAGTTCAATTGCCATTATGGGTCGCGCCTTGCTAATCTGGAGGGATTCTTGAGGGCGTAGTCGATCTTGTAACGACGACTGCGGCATTGCTGCGAAATGCCTGGCGGGTCGAGGCGTGTGGAATGCTGAGGGTGGTGAGGCGGGGGAAGTTGGAGGGGAGGATGAGGAGGGACCACTCGGAGGGACGGGAAGGATGAGAACCAATGAAACGAGCAAGGGAATGGGATAAGTAGGAGGACGGGCATGATGTCAGGATATGGGGAGAGAATGATGATGATGCTGATGATGGCGAGCTTGATGCTGATGATGATGAAGATGTTGCTGATGATGATGGTGATGACGATGCTGCTGCTGATGATGATGCGGATGGCGATGAGGATAATGTAGATGTTGATGATGATGATGATGTTGATGTTGATGGTGACGAGGATACTGATCATGATAATGACGACGCTGATTATGCTGAAGATGGTGATGGCGATGATGCTGCTGCCGATGATGATGGTGAGGTTGATGTTGTTGTTGATGATGCTGATGATCATCATCAGGATGATCATGCTGTGTATGCTGTTGCTGGTACGATGGCGATTCAAATAATGGTGATGGTGGTGGTGAAGCTGATGATGATGACGGCGATGACGACGATGTTGCTGCTGATGATGATGAAGATGCTGATGATGGTGATGGCGGTGATGATGATGCTTATGGTATTGGTGGCGATGTTGATGTTGATGCTGCTCCCATTGCATCTGCTGGTAATGATGATGATGCTGGAAATGGGGGTTGGTGTTGATCGCTGCGGGGATGGCGGTGATGATTGTGAGGATGACGATGCTGAGGATGTTTATATTGACGATGGCGATGATGTTGATTATGATGCTGGCAATGGTGGTGATCATGCTGATGATGAGGATGGTGATAGTGATGATGATGATGATGATGATGATGTCGATGATGATGATGATGATGATGATGATGATGATGATGATGATGATGATGATGATGATGATGATGATGATGGTGATGATGATTCTGATAATGCTCATAGTGATCGTGAAACTGAGGATGATGACGACTAGGCTGATGAAGATAATGATGACGATGATCCATGGAGGCGATGAGAAGGATGCTGATTACGATGATGTTGGTAATGGTGGTTATGCTGATGCTGGGGATCATAAGAATTCTACTATTGGTAGTGTTGGTGGTGGTGATGCTGGCGGAGATGGTGGTAGTGGTCAGGAAGGCAATGAGTATCAGGCTCAGGATGAGGATGATGGTTGTAGTGGTGTCGATGGTGACGAGCACGCTGACGATGATGATGACGATGATGATAATGATTATGATGGTGATGACGATGATGATGACTGTGGTGGTGATGTTGATGGTGACGGTAATAATGACGGTGATGTTTATGGTACTGATCACATTGATGTTGATGGTGCGGCTGCCCCTGCTGCATCTGCTGCCCATGGTGATGCTGCTGAAAATGGTGGTGCTGTTGTTTGGCTATTGTGGTGGTGGCGATAGCGATGACGATGCCGATGACGAACCGATGATAATAAGGATACTGATGATCATGGTGATGTTGACGACGATGCTGATCATGATGACGATGCTGATGATGACGAGGATGAGGAAGACGATGTTGATGCTGATGATGGTGATGGTGATGGTGGTTACGGTGAGGATTAAGATGCTGATGATGACGACATCATGCTGATGATGATGACTATCATTATTATGATGACGATGGTACTGATTATGATGACTACTGATGAAGGTAGTGATGATGAATCTGATTATGTTGATGATGATGCTGATGATGCTGATGGTGATGGTGGTCCTGATGAGGATGATGGTGATGATGAGGATGCTAATGATGGTTCTGCTTCTGATTACGATGACAAAGGGGAAAATGATGATGACGATGATGATGATGATGATGATGATGGAGCTGATGGTGAGGATGATGCAGATGATGATGATGATGCTGATTATGCTGACGATGATGATGCTGATGATTGGATGATGGTGATGGTGATGAGGATGGTGCTGATGGTGATGGTGATTATGATTAGCATTACGATGATGATGTTGTTGATCATGTTGATGATGCTGATGATGCTAATGATGATACTTATGATGAGGTTGCTGATGATGGTGATGCTGATAACTCATGGGGGCGATGCTACGGATAATGATTGTGATCATTATGATGATGGTGATGATGGTGCTGATGATGATGGTGGTGATGATTCTGATGCTGCTGATGATGGTGTTGGTGATGCTGGCGGCGATGGTGGGGGTGATGGTGCTGGTGGTGAGGAGGATCATAATTATGAGAAGGATTATTATGAGGATAAGTAGGAGGAGAGGCCGCAGTGGGAAGGAGGCGGCGGAGGCGGAGGCAAAGGACGAGAGGGACAGGGAAGAAGAGAGGGATGGATGGAGGGAGGAGAAGGAGGAAGAGGAGGAGGAAGAGGAGAAGGATGATGATGAGAAGGAGGCAGCTTGCTAGCAGAGTCGGCCTTATCTCACCTGAGGCGGAGGCTTGGGCCGAGAGGCTGGATGAGTAAAGAATTCGGAAGCAGCAGAGAGAGGGTTCAGGTCAAGTCAGTGCTTGCTTAGTGCCATCCTCCTGAGGAGGTGCGATCGTGGCCCCTAGTGGAAATCACTGACTTCATCCGCACTGAAACATAAAACATAGAGGCGGTGCCGGCAAATGATGATGATGGTGATGATGATGATGAGGAGGAGGAGGAGGAGGAGGAGGAGCGGGAGGTGGAAGCAGAGGCGGAGTAGGAGGAAAGTGGCCGGGAACCGTGCGAAGATCGAAGAGGATGAAGAGAACGAAGCAGATGCGGGCGGAGGCGGTCGCACGGTGGAGGAGGTGAGGCAGGATAGTGGAGGAGCGGCAGAAGAGGAGGATGAGTTGGATGACCAGCAGGAGAAGCAGGAGTGAGAAGGTCTTTACGTTCGGAGTTTCTTTCTTGTTTTTGGTGGCTTGTTGAGGTTCTCGGGCGTAGATCCAGGGAGGAGGAGGAGGAGGTATACAGTGAAGACGCGGAAAGAAGGACCGCTTTCAGTTCGGATGGGGCTCGCCGTTCTTCAGGTCATTCCGTAGTTGCTTCTGTAGCCCTCCTCGTTCCGTCAGGCTCTTCTGGTGCCATCAAGGGGGGTAGTTTTTTGTCCAGCGTTATTATTGCAGCAGCTCGGTTGTAGGTTTGCACTGACGGGGGAGGGCGAGGGGGAGTACGAAGGGGAATATCTTTACCACCGGAGTGTTTCGGGCTCACGTGGCTTCCTCGGGTTATATGCTGTTATCGGAGGCTCTAGGCTGGAGAGAAGTATGATGAGCAGGATGATGAGGATCACGGCGGTGCTTGTGGTGATGGTGCGGACGAGGATGTTGGTGGTGGACATTAGTAAGGAGGGTAAGGATGATGCGTATGAGGGTAATTCTGATGATGGTGGTGATGATGACGAGGATTATGCGGATGAGGTTGATAAGGATGAGGATGAGGATGAACATAAGGATGATAGTGTTGCTGCTGGTGATGATGATGCTGGTGGTGATGGTGATGATGATGTTGATGTTTATGATGTGGCCCTTCCGCATCTCTTACCCCTCCCTCTATCTTGTCCAGGACGTCGGTGTGCATATGGTTGCCGCCTCCGATAAAACAACATCCCGCCCCCTGAGCGTTCCCGCTCCCCCCCTGAGCTTCTATCTGCCCCAGGCTTGTTTCCAGATCCGAAGTGACCCCTGGAGCACGAGTGCGCATTTTCCGTCTTCTCACATCTGTTCCACAGCAGAGCCGCCGGAATTGTACCATGGCGGTGTGCTCCACCATATTGTCAATGCACCTCTGACGTGCACGGCTTCTTGGCCAGGCTGTCTAGGGCGTCAGACTGCGTGGTCCCGGGCTCCCGGGGCCCGTGCCCCCCGTGGAACTCTCCTGTGTCTGTCCCAACCATCTTCTGGTGTTGGGTCCTCGTTTTGAAGAGACAGCGCCCCCGCGTCCCTCCTCTCCTTTCCTTTCCTCTCCTCTCCTCTCCTCTCCTCTCCTCTCCTCTCCTCTCCTCTCCTCTCCTCTCCTCTCCTCCTCTCTCTCTCCTTTCTCTCCTCTCCTCGCCCCCTCCCCCTCCCCCTCCTCCCTCCTCCCTCCTCCCTCCTCCCTCCACTCTATCCTCCCTCCCATGTTGGCACACCCCTCAAACGCTTCGTGGCACCATTGGGAGCTCCACCGAAGGTCCCAGTGGCGGTGTCCACATGCGTCACCGCTCGTCACTTCGGCACACCCCTCACACGTTTCATGGCTCCATGGGGAGCTCCACCGAAGGCTCTGCCACCTATTTCGGCACACACCTCAGACGTTTCGTGGTCGCATGGGGAGCTCCACCGAAGGCCCCAATAGCGGTGTCCACATGCGTCTCTGCCACCTATTTCGGCACACACCTCAGACTTTTCGTGGTTGCATTGGGAGCTCCACCGAAGGCCCCACTGGTGGTGTACACATGCGTCCCCGCCACACATTTTGTCACACCCCTCACACGTTTCGTGGCCTCATAAAAAACTCCACCGAATGCCCCAGTGGCGGTGCCGAAATGCGCCCCCGCCATCCATTCGAACACCCCTGACACGTACCGTACCCCCGTAGGGGGCTCCACCGAAGGCACCACTGGCGGCGTCCACATGCGTCCCCGCCACCTATTTCGGCACACACCTCACACGTTCCGTGGCTCCATGGGGAGCTCCACCAAATGCCCCAGTGGCGGTGTCCACATGCGTCCCCGCCCGTCACTTCGGCACACCCGTCACACGTTTTCGGGGCTCCATGCGGAGCTCCACCGAAGGCCCCAGTGGCGTTTTCCGCATGCGTCCCCATCACCTATGTCGGCACACCCCTCAAACGTTTCGTGGCTCCATGGGGAGCTACACCGAAGGTCTCACTGGTGGTGTTCGCATGTCTCCCCACCACCTATTTCGGCACACCCCTCACACGTTTCGTGGCCCCACAGGGAGCTGCACCGAAGGCCCCAGCGGCGGTTTTCGCATGAGTCCCCGCCACTCATTTCGGCACACACACACACACACACACACGCACCTCACATGGCTCGTGCCACCAGAAGGAGCTCCACCGAGAGCCTCAGTGGCACAGTTCGCATGCGTCCCCCCACCAACTTCGGCACCTCCCTCACAGTTCGTAGCCCCATAGGGAGCGCCATCGAAGACGATATTCAAAGCTGCGGCATTCGCACCTGCATCTGGTTGGGGCCTCAGGACAATTCAGCCTATGCCAGGACCCTCTTGCGAAACGCTACGCGAGAAAAACATCCCGCCGCCCTGAGCTTTTCCCTGCCCCATCTGGCCGCTCCGCACGGGCCTCCTCGGTCGAGGTTGGGTGAGCATCCGGGCGAACGGCAAGGAGCTCGTGGTGCCCGAGAGGGCCGCCGCTCCGCCGCTGCCGGCCGCGAGGCCCAGGCCGGGTGAGCGGTGGCCTCCTCGGAGGGAGACGAGGATCGAGATTTGCTGGTTTGGTGGGCCCTCAGGAGGCCTCGTGTCCTCGCCACGGGGAGGTCCAGGTGTCGCTTTTCCAGTGTCGCCATGCGAAAAAGGAAAGGGGGACCTGGCGGAAAGGGGGCCCTGGCTTCTCCCATCAGATTCGGCCTCCCTGGTGCGAAATGCTCCCGGGCCCAAGGGCGGCCGGAAACACGACTGAGGACGAGAAACCGGTCTTGGGGAAGACCCGGGTCCGCGACAGTTCAGTTCGTGTGTGCATTCATTTTGTTTTGTATGTTGAATTTGGCTCGCTACACAGGCAGAGGACTCTCAGGCTTGTTGAGGTCGAGCTTGGCTTCAGAAAGAGCGCGGGCTTTCCCTTCGGGCCCCCCTCCCCTCCCCTGACCTCCCAGGAGGGCTGAAATGTGGTCGACGTCCAAACTCCTGTCGAGGCTCAGGCAGTCCGGATAGGGCTATTCGGCCACGCGCAGGGGGGTGTAGGGTGTAGGGGGAGGGGGAAGGCTTCTTATCAGCACCTCTGCTTCAAAGAAGGCGCTGGTCTTGTCTGTAGATGCAGGGCGGTGCCTTCCAAGAAGCAACCTCCTTCTAAGAAGCCTTCCCCCTTACCCCTACCCCCCTGCACACGCCGCCAAGCTATACGTCTGGAGGGCTATTTCGTAGCACGCTGGAAGGCCAGCTTCGTGCCACTTTGGGGCGCTGAGGGCGGTCGGCGGTCGTGCCGCGGGGTCCCCGGCCAGGTGTCCGGCGCCCCAGTGCGCCAGGCCCAGGCCTCGCGAGTGCCGCGAGCGAGCCGCACATCCCGGCCTCGATATTCGGCTCGGCCTCGCACCGATCTGCGCTCGGCCTCGCTCCGACCTTCGCTTCCTCGCAGCGCTAGCGGGCCTCGCCCTCTGCTCCCCAAGACCTCCGACGATGTCCCTGTGGTTCCACCGGTGGCTTTCCCTCGACTTCGGCTCTCAGGGGCCGTTTCCGGGCCCGTGGGCGATCAACACTGGACTCGGGACGGAAACACATTCCCTGGAGAGGCGGTCGGGACCTCTGGAGACACATACTTATCAGACAGACAATTGTTGTAACATACGCACTCCAGTTCATATGTTTTTATTGAGCGGAACCCTGCGATCCCGCCCCTAAACGGGACCCCTCCGATCCTTGGTCACGGGAGCTTTCTGGTTGCTCCTTGACAGGTTCACCCGGGATGCTTTGGGCCTTTGAGGATCCCTCCCAACCAGTGCAAACGGCTCACCGGCGGTGCCACGAGACCCGCAAGAAAGTCCAAGAGGGCCCCGAGACATCCCAGAAACGTCCCAAGAAGGATTTTGATGGCTGCAAGACCTCAAGAGGCCCCCAAGACGCCCTTCAAAGGGACCCCCAAAAAGCCGCGTCGACGGCGCAATGGCGACAACGACGGCGGCGCGAGACGAAGGCGACAGCGACGACGGCGGTATCGGACTCGTCGCCAGAGGCGGGGAGGGAGGGGAGGGAAGGGGAAGGAGGAGGGGAGGGCGGACGTCGGGGCCCGGGCCCCCGTCGCTGCTGGGCGTCACCCCGCGCGGCCGCGGCGTCGCTCCGAAGCGGGCGGTGCCTCGAGCACCGCGCGGCCCCTGCTCTGGCCCGCTCCCCCGCTCCCCGTGGCGGCGCCTGCCTCTGATGAGCCCTGCGGGAGGGGGCGAGGAGGAGAGGGAGAGTCGACCAGTGGCGAAGCGTCCTGCCTTGCTAACGGACCCACCAGATAATGCTCTGATAGCCTTTAGTGGTTTGCGCGACGTGTTCTTGGAACAGTTCTGACTGAGACTGTCTTGTCTCAGCACATGGGCTTTCTGTTCTCAGAGCTTTGTTTCTTGTTATCCGAACATTCTTTGATTCTAAGAACCTATCACGGTAGGCTTACAGAAATGCCAAGACGGTCGGTCCCTGCTCAAGAGGACGAGGACCAGGAGGTCGAGGATGAGGAGGAGGAGGAGGAGGAGGAGGAGGAGGAACCCTCCTCGTCTCCCTCCTCCTCCCGCTCCTCCTCCCCCTCCTGCCCCCACTCCTCCCTCCTCCTTCTCCTCCTCCTCCTCCTCCTCCTCCTCCTCCTCCTCCTCCTCCTCCTCCTCCCTCTCCTCCTCTTCCTCCTCTTCCCCCTCCTCCTCCCCCTCCTCCTCCCTCTCCTCTTCCAAGAGGATGGGGATGCAATGATGCTGATGATGCTGTTGATGGTGGTGGTGGTGGTGGCGGTGGTGGTGGCAGTGGCGATGATGATGAGGAGGGGAGCAATGATGAGGAGCAGTACCTGCATGGGGGCGGCTGGTGGTCTCTCCGAGGATGTGGGCAACAGGGCCCTCAAATGCCTCACGGCCAGCAGTCCGTCAGGCCCGAGGGAGGGGGGAGAGGAGGCAGGATCAGTATCCAAACTGCTAGGTCTGCGAGCGGGCCACCATAAAACACTTCCTCGGGCGAGTCATGGATAAGCCGAGGAATTGCAAAGGGGGGCGCCCACTGCTTGCGGCGCACCCCAACTCGCAGCCAATTGTGGGGGTGGCTAGATCGGGACCCGCCCGGACTAGCAGCCAACAGGGGGACTGGAGGGCACGTGCTGCTTGAGGCCAGCAGCTTGTCGGCTCCGAGGGAATCGGAATCGGAAGCGGAATAGACGCGAAGCGCTATCACAAGTGAACGCCATCCTTTGCCGCCTCAACCATCGACGCACACGACGTAACTGGTGAAGACGAGCTACAACGCACCGGAAGATGAAGTCTAGCAACGCGTTTACGATTAACAAGAGCAATGCTTCCCCACGTGAACTCTGTCATCCACGCAGGAGATTAAGTCGGAGCGCTTTGGCAGCAGCAATTGGGTTGTCTCCTTCCCTCACCGGCCATAAGAAAGTGCTACGACCACAAAACGATCAATCCCAAATCCATCACACAGAACAAAGCGCATGCTCAACACCGCGATACGAGGCGATATAGCTCCGAATCGGTACCACACAGCTGCGGCGGAAAGCAACCCGTTCGCCTGAAACAACGACATGGACTTGGCACCACCGTGACATTATGCACGATGATGTGGAACACGTGAAAACCATTTAGCCAACCAGTTGTTCAATCGTAGGGCATGCTGCCACTGCCCGCTCCCCTCAGGTGACTCAGGTGGGCTGATCCCAGCACAGTAGCAGCATCACAACATAATTGATGTATTCAAGTATATGCCGCATCCTAGCTCTCCGACGACCGAAGAGGGCAAGTGACCCACCAACAACAGATCCCAGTATGTGCAACAGACCAGGCCAAAACGTTGCACGACAGAAGAAATGCATTGAAACATAAGCCTCTCACCCCCTGGATATTAGCCACAAGGGCAAACCCCTAATCCAGATTAGCTTTTCGACCGACAGGGGGCGAAATACACAGACAGATCAACCAGTTCTGAAATCACAGCGCAGTATACTGAAGCGCTGTGTTGATCTCCTCGGGACTGTTTTTTTGCTGCCTCTGGCCAATACCCAGCCACGCACCATTTTTGTACAATCGTAAGCAGCATAACATCTGTTACTCCACCTCAGTTTAGCCAACCTGGTCGACAGTGTACGGGCACTGGAGACGACGTGCCACTCAAGCGCCACGTCGAGGCATCGGGGTGCGACTCAGGGCCAAGGGACGAGCCAAAATGCTTGCGGGACCTTGAGCAGCATGTGCTTGAGCCGTCGGCTCCGAGGGAGGAGGGCCAGGAGGAGGGGACGACGCGACAGACGACAGGGCGCGAGCGCCGCGGGCATCCAGACGCGGTGGGCACGCGCGCCAGCGTGCAGGGCTGCGGCACCACCTGGAACGACACGGAGCGACACGGAACGAGGAGGGAGGAGGGGGAAGGGAGGAGGAGGCGGGAGGGGACCACGCGGAGGGAGGAGCGAGACGAGAGGGCCGATCCTCCTCGAGGCTTGCCTCCCCGGCCGTCCGAGCCGCCCGCGGCGCCCGCGCCGCCACGCCCGCCTCGGCGACGGCGCCGGGCCTGGTCGGCGTGGCGCTGGCCTCGCCCGCAGGCGACCAGGGCGTGCGGCGCGCCGCCTCCGCGATGCTCCTCCTCGATCCCAAGGGGGTGCGGGTGCTATCGGCCACGCGCAGAGGGAAGTGCGGGGAGTAGGGGAAGACTTCTTAGAAGCACCCCTGCTTCTCAGGAGGGCCTTGTCTGTAGATGAGAGGCTGGCGCCTTCTAAGAATCAGCCTCCTTCTGAGAAGCATTCCCCCCTCCCCCCATCCCCCTGTGCGCGCCGCCAACCTTCAGTGCGTTCGTCGTCGTAGTGCTTTGCCTTCGTCTCTCTCCCTTCCTTCCCTCCCCCTCTCCTCTGGCCGCCGTGCTGGCCTTCAGGTGCTACGTCGCCCGTCGCGGTGCACTTCGGCAGTGCCCTGGTCCCTGGGTTGGTGCCGCCCCCCCGCAATTCGGACGAGAGCTCCGTTCGGAAGGAAACCGCCGCCCATCCGCCGAGCTGTACGACATATGACGGGGCTTCAAAGTTCAAGGAACTGCCCAAAGTGCAAAGTTCAAGGAACTGCCCGAAGTTCAAAGTTTAAGGAACTGACGAGGCGGGGTGTCAAAGTTCAAGGAATGGCCCAGCGATGGCCGGGCCCTGCATCCGTGCAGCCTAGTTCACAATTTCGCACTTCTGGTCGCAAAACCAGGCGAAGTCTCGGGCAAGAGCCAAGCGCCCTCCATCGCTATATTGTGACAGATTGTTGTGATAGATTGTTCTATATTGTTGTGGCTATTGCGCAGTGCTATATTGTTGTGATAGGTTTTGTGGGGTCTCGGGCGAGATCCCCGTTTTGAAACCGGACCGGCCTCCATTCGTGCAACTGCTGGGATGTTTCAAGACGAATGTGCGCGGCGCTAAGGCGAGAGCCACATTTTGAAAACGACGGTTCGAAAGTCTTTGTTATTACGCATTGTTGTCGCAACCTGCTTCTGCGGCGAGATTTGGCTCGTGCCAGGAGGATCGCCAGCCGAAGCGTCTGCCGTTGGCGTTGCGGCGTCGCATGCTACAGGACGGAGAACGCTTGGGACTCATCCTGCACAGGGGGGAGTGCTGTTCTGCTTCTAGTTCCGCCAGACTTTCCCAGCGGATGCAGAATCTACGCTCCGGGAGTATTCGCCGCCGCCGCTCAATGCGAGGAGCTGTCATGCACTGCCCTCTTTTCGGCGATTGCACCGCCAGCTTCCGGAGGAAGGCGCCAGACCGAGCGGACATGTGTGCACTTGGGGAGACGCGTGGAGGACAGCGAGGAGGCGGAGGTGGCGGGCCAGGGGGTGGTAGGAATGAGAGCAGGTTGGCTGGAAGGGGGACGATGATGAGGGGGAAGGGGATGGAGACGAAAAGGCGAATATCGGAGGACGAGGAGGGTGGCGCGGTCGAGGAGTAGGAGGGAGAGGAAGCGGATGAGGAGGAATCGGAACAATGGGACGAAACGCGCCAAGGCGTGGGCTCTCGCAGTGGGGCGCCGCTGGAGCGAGCGGGGCACGTGGAGCTCCCGCCGTGACACAACTCGCCGCATCGTCGGCCTGCGACAGGGGAAGGGCGATCCCGTGTTGTGGGCAGCCTGCGTCACAGACTTGCGGCGTCAGCACTTCCCCAGTGGCCTCATCATGCGCACGCCCACTTCAAAACACATGTGCGTGTTTCATTGCGCGATGTCGTCGATATCTGTGTCCCGACGCTGGAGTTAACCTATTTTGTTATTCTCCTCGTCGTCGTCCTCCTCCTCTTCTCTCCTCCCCCATTACCCCTCTCCCCCTACCTCCTCCTCCTTTCTTCCCCGGCGGTCTTCCATTCCCTGCTCCTGTCTTCTCTGCCCCCTCCTCCTGGTGTTGTCCCAGAATTTATTGGTCGAAGCGTCTGCCGCCTCCGTTGCGGCTGTCTCTGCCCCAGCCAGGGCTGCACCTGGGGGCGTCGGTTTTGGGGCCGAATGGGCGTCGTTGGAACGTGGGGCAGGAGGAGACACAGAAGGTGCGGATATCGGCTGGTGCTGGGCCCCCCGCGCCCGCGCCGCATGGCTGAACCGATGCGCTTGGCCACCGAGTAACAGGTGGCTGACCGCGTGCTGCCGCTGCCGCGGCAATTCTTCAGGAACCGAAGGAGGTCTAGAACCGCGGCCGGAGGGCGACGCATTCGCAGACATGGGCGCTTGCGTGGGTGCGCATGCTCGTGAGGACCATCACCGCCAACCTGATGCTCCAGTTCGCAAATGTTATGGTGGAGGCTAATCGGCCGACGTGAATTACGACGCGCCCTCCCGCCCCCCCACTCGGCCTGCATTGGAAGCAAGGGTTTCGTTGTCTTCGCGCACCGTCGTCAACCTCGGTGCTCCCGGCCAGCTTGTGCTCTCGAGGCAAACACCGTCACTGATGCGCCGTTCTTCTCGTCCAGCAAGGGGCCGCACCAGGACATTGGCTGTCGGAAGCCGCGCCCGACCGAATGGATGTCCGTGCGGTCAAGCAGAAAAAGGGGGGACGACGGGGAAGAACATATCGAGGAAAAGAAGGTACTAGGTTCACGCTGGAGGGTGAAGAAGGAGGATCATCACATCAATAGTAAAGCAGGATGTTGATTGCACATATGATGATGAGGAGGAGGGTGGAGGAGTGAAGGAGGAGAAGGAGGCGAGAGAGGAAGATGTTGACGGTTGACGGGTGAATGGGATCAGAAGCGTAATATTGTCGCACGATTTAAGATTTCTGAGCGGTGGCGGAGAAGGAGGAGGAATATGATGACTGGGGAGGTTGAGATTGTGAGAGGTGGTGGTGTTGGAGGAGAAGGAGGGTTTTGGAAGGTCCATACGCCGTAGCGGTGAATTGGGAGGCAAGAAGGAAGGGCCTCAGCCTGGCACAGGGGACACAAACAGTGTTAGCATTCGAGGAGTTCCAATTGGGCTGTGAGCTCGGGTGGAAGAAGAGGGGTAAGTGGATAAGGTAGGGATCGGAGGAGCAGCTGGAGGACAATGAACTTGGGCCAGGAGGATGACAGAGGAAAAAGGAAGATGAGCAGGCGAAGAATGATCGTGGTAATGAAGAGGAGGGGGAAGAAGAAAACATAACGAAGCGAGGGAACGTAAGGATGATGGTGATGATGATAATGATGATGGTGATGACGTGGTGATGGTGATGGTGATGGTGATAGTGGTGGTGACGATACTGATGATGCTGATGATGTTGGTGATGATGATGCTGGTCAGGATGGTGATAGCGATGCTGTTGATGATGATCATGGTAATGGTGATGGTGATGATGATGTTGATGTCGGTGATGCTGATGCGGCGGATGATGATGAGGAGGAGGAGGTGCATCAGGATTGTGCAGATCGTGATGGTGATGGGGACGTTGTTGTTGATGATGATGGTGGTGATGACGATCATGACGGTCATGATGTTTATGATCATGATTTTGGTGATGATGTCGATGATGATGATGATGATGATGATGTTTATGATGATGATGTTGATGATGATGATGATGTTGATGGGATGGTGATGTCGTGGTGATGGTGATGGTCATCGTGAATGTGGTGGTGGCGATGAGGATGATGATAATGATGATGATGATACTGATGATGCTGATGATGATGTTGGTTATGGTGGTGGTGGCGATGTCGTTGGTGATGAGGGTTGGGGTGATAGTAAAGGTGTTGATGATGATGATTACGGTGTTGATCGGCTGCGACGATGTTGATGTTGCTGCTGATGATTTCGGTGATGACGGTGATGCTGATGCTTCTGCGGATGATGATGGGAAGGAGGAGAGACATCATGGATTTGATGGTAATGCTAATGACGACGGTGATGATGATTATGAGGATGATTGTGGTGATGATGTCGATGACGATGATGATGCTAATGATGCTAATGTGAATGATGACGATGATGATGGCGATGATGTTGATTATGATGATCATGGTTATGACGATGGTGCTGATAATACAGGATAATATGGATGTGTATGTTGACATTGAAGATGATGATGATGATGATGATGATGATGATGATGATGATGATGATGATGATGATGATGCCGACGACAAGTATGATGATGATGATGATGATGATGATGATGATGATGGTGGTGGTGGTGGTGGTGGTGGTGGTGTTGTTGATGACGATGGTGGTGATGATGACGACGACGAGGATGACGATGGTGATGACGATGGTGATGGTCGTGAATGTGATAACATGTTTCAGGCTCCACGCCCGAGCGTATCCAACAATGCCTGCCACAGTTTGGCAGGCGCCATACTTGCCACGGCGTGGCAGCCGGCTGCTTCAGGCCTCGTGGGCTATGCAAATATTAGGGTGTTGAAACGCTGCATGCGGTTGCTTGTTTCAGCAGTCACGTGCCAACAAGGACTTCGACCTCTTGCTGTGCTTGCAGACCCGGCACTCGCGCCGACTGGGTTCACATGCTGAGCGTGCCTCCCCCGCCCCCAGGGCTCTCCGCCGGCGCACCGCCCGCCTGCGCTCGCCCCCCGCGCCCAAAATTCGATTGCCACTCCAGCCCAGTGCCAGCTTGAGCGCGACGGGTCCGCCCGAAGCCGCCGATTGGAAGATGTTTCACAGTGACGCTCTCACGCTGCTTGCGACAACGGGGGCACCTGCCTTTACAGATGGTCTTCTGACCATAGCGCGCAGCAAGAATGGGCGATACGGCATGCTTGCTGGCAGTGCTCATCACGGAGCCGCCATTCGAATGGCAAATGTACCGCGTGCAAACAAACACGACTGAGCCGCCGGAGCGATCGAACGCTATGCTCAGATGGCGGAAAGCGTCGAGTTTCGAGACGTGCAACTTAGAGTCTTATGGGCAGTGGCCTGCAGGCGGGCGCACAGATGCCTTAATACCTCACGCCAAGCACGCCTCCAAACCCCCGGCCACTACTCCCATCGATGGCCCCCAGGGGGCAAAGCTGGCGGGTGAGGGACCCTCTCATCTGCACTGAGGTCCACTCTCGGTCCAAGGTGAAATAAATCGGCCGCGAGCTGGATATCGGTTCTTGCACAAGAAACAAGCTGACCGACTTTTGCATGTCGTTTGAGCACTTGCAACCGGTAACTTGGCTTCGACGGCGGCGTGATGATTACCGCGTCTGAGCCAACGCTCGTGCGAGTTGATCCTAGCTCCATCGAGATTTCGACGGGCGGCGATCTTGGCACAGGAGGTGGATATTGTGCCCAACGGTGCAGGAACGCACCCGAGTACACACATTGAAGCGAAGCCTGTTCCGCTTTGGACCTGCCCACTTGTTCCGAGGATAGAGAGAGTTTCGGAGGAGGCGGGAGGAATCTGCGGCGGAGAAAAAGGAGACCAGAAATCGGGGGAGTGGGAGGTCAGCAGGGGAGAACCTGAGGAAGTGGATGATGAGGATGTGGAGGTGGAGGACGAGGAATGATGGGACAAAGGTGTTGACAATGACGACGAGGAAAGTGGCAAAAGAGGGAACAAGGAGGAAGATGATGATGATGATGAGGAGGAGGAGGAGGAGGAGGAGGAGGAGGAGGTGGAGCAACGTGGAAACGACGTGGAGGAAGGTGAGGAGGACGACAAAGGCGAGTACGTGGAGGAGGGGGGAGGCTCAGGGGAGGATCAGGGGAGGAGAGTGTCATGGGGGAAGGAGGAGGAACACCAGAAGCAGGTTGGGCGAAGGAAGAGGAGGTGCATGAGGAGGAGAGGGGAAAGGAGGGCGATGAAGAGGAGGTCCAGTGCAGCTGCCGAGGAGGAGGAGGAGGAGGAGGAGGAGGAGGAGGAGGAGGAGGAGGAGAGGAGGACTGTCTACGGCTGGCAGCGGCCAGGTCCCTGTGCAAAGAAAAGAGAAACATGGCCCCAGGGCTGAAGCTCCGGTCGTGCAAAGAGGGCAGGGTGCACCCGCGCCCCGCCTACCGTTCGAATGCGGTTTTTCAGTGGGCCAGGGAGTTTTGAGATCGGCCACCGGAGCCCCTCAAGAAGCTCGTGCCCTGTCCCCCGCGTGCGTAGTCGCCCTGACCTTCGAGTGTCTCGGCTGGCGGCCCTCGTCGTGTCGATTGGTTTTGCTGGCGCCTCGGTGTCGATGTTCTGCAGATGTCGCCGACCCAGGTTCGCGAGCAGGCGAGGCAGGCTGTCTTCGGGGTGCGTCGTTTGCGGTTGCCCCCGCTTTCATGGGAGTTGCTGCGCGCACTGCTGTCTTGGAGCGCCAGCCCTCGGCGGTCTGCACGGAACTCCACGTGCTGACGTTGAGAGGGCTCTTGTCCAGGAAGTTCTGGACCCGCGGTCGGGAGTTTTGGCTTCATGAGTCGCGCTACCGATTCTGGCCCACCACGCTTCGGCGCGACACGTTGTCCACGCTTCAATCCCCGAGCGTCACCGTCCCGAGCTTTTCCCAGCTTCCCGCCCCGCGGAGCGGAGCGACACGCTATCCGCTCGCAAGGCATGGCGTGTCGCCGGGGCCGCCAATGCGACACGCCATGCAAACGATCCTGACCGTGGGATCGCCTGCGCCAGCACCGGCTAGCTGGCGAATTCCAACGCTCGGCGGTGAAGGGAAGGGAGCTTTTTTTCATCTTAGGTTCTGGTGAGACCCGTGAGCGTTTTATCGTAGACATCCCTGTTCCAGATGTTTCGGGCAGCGTATCGATTAGGGTCGAGTCTAACCAATTTGGCTCGTGAGCTTCCATGATGGTAGGTAATTGTGCTGGTGGTGACGAGGGTGTTGCTTGATGATGGCGGTGATGGTGACGGGGGTGATGCTGGTAGTGATGATGACGCAGGCAGGTAATGACTTGTGATGCGTGGATTGTGATGGCTAGACTTTGAACGGTGAACGCTGGGAAGTGGTGATTGATGGCTACGATGCCGACGATGATGATGACGACGATAATGACAACGGTGATGGTGGTGGTCTGACCAGGCGCAGTTTCCACTCCTTCGGAGGGATCAAAGGGCGAGGGGAGAGAAGGCGAAGTTCGAGTTTCCGATCTGGCCTGGGCGTCGGGCTAGGAGGAAGGGCGGGGAGGTGGAGGAGGAGGGTGGTGCGTAGAGGGCGAGGTGGATGGCCGAGGACACGGAGGAACGAACACCCCACCGTGACCATGGCTAACGTCGACCAGTGGGACAGTTGGTGCGCGTTCGAAGTCGCTATGAATGTACACAGTTGTCGCGGCCTGTTCTCTCATTCTGCTCGTCGAAGTCCTGCATAACAGAGCGCACGCCGCCGGCGATGCATCGTCCGCCTCTCCCGTGCCATGTTGCCAGGGCGCTTGCTTTCGGAGGAAGGCGTTCGGCTGAACGGGCGCGTGTTCACGTTGAAGGAGGAGTTTGGGACGACGGGGAAGGAGAGGGGGAGGGAAGAGGGGGTTGAGGATGACGGGGGCGGAAATGTGGTGATGGATGTCCGAAGAGAATGGCGAGGAGGCGGAGGGCGATGTCAGGGATGATGACAATGGTGACGATGATTTTGTCGGACGGTAATGGTGGTGAGGATAATGATGCTGCCAGTGGGGATCTGGGTGAAGATGGTAGTTACGTGATGATGGTGCATATGGGTATGATGGTGATGACGATCGTTGTGGCCATGGCAGTTTAGGCGACAGCGACTATCACGGCACTGGTGAAACTGATGCCGATGAGGGCGGACGGAAGCATGACTCGGAGGATGCAGATGTCACCCATGTCAAATCTTCTGGCGGCGAATCAGACCGCCACGGCCACCACGTAATTATCGAAAGGCTGCCGCCGACCCAAATTCAGCGACCTATGTTTGATTAGTTTTTTGTCCGGGTGCCTTTCCGAGCATGGCAGGAAGTGTTCAGGCGAGACATCCAGGCCTGAGCGTAGGCCCCCTGGACTCTGAATTCTCTGTCGCACCTCGGACTCCTATCTTGAGAACCGTGATCATACGATGATCATGGTTCTGACGGGTCGCATCGCATTTCGGATTTCCAGTGGTACGCCACTTGGGGGTCTTTCAGTTTGTTTTTCGTTGGAATCGTGTGTGTGGTGGTGCAGTGATTCGGGTTAGCAGTCGGTCGACTGTGCGAGGGGGCATACATTGTTCATGAGCAGCGATAAACCCATCCCCGAAGGGGAAGAATTTGGCTGGACAAGGAATCGCGATTGACCACTTCCTGCCCAGAAAGCGGGTGGGATTTAGAGCTAGTGGACCCCATGCGAGAGGTTGTCCAGGTCTATTTCGGCGAAGCCATCTACGCAATTCTGGGCCTCGAGATGCCGCATGTGAGGTGGCTTGGCCGAGCTCGCTTGCGACATCCTTGCAATTGATGGTCCAGCCCGTTTCGTTTCAGACATCCTCATTTTTGTTCTAGGGCTGTCCAGCCCAGTTTGCTTGAGGCATCCTCGCAACTGTGGGCTCCGAGACACGCGAGAGGTCAAGCCAGCTTCCCCTCAGACATACTCGCAACTCAGGGCTCATGGATGCCCGTACTTGAGGTGGTCCATCTAGTTTTGCTTCACACTTCGTCGCAACTCTAGTCTCGGACATTCCTTGGCCTGAGGTCATCCAGCCATCTTCGCCTGATGCATCCTCGTTGCTCTGAGATGCTCGGTAGTTTTGCCTCACGTTATCCGATCCTTCTTCCTCGCTTGTTTGGGTTCGCATCTGCCGTGGGCTTCGTTTCGCTTCGGATATCCTCGCAACTCCAGGTTCATGTATCGATGTCTTGACCTCATGTGGTCCGGGTCCTCTTCGTCCGAGACATTTCGGAATTGTGGGTTCGGGGATGCTCAGACCTGAGGTGGTCCAACCAATTTCGCCCGAGATCTCGCCGCAACTTTAAGGTTCAGAGCTGTCCTGTCCATGCTGTCGCCGACGAACCATTCGACAATTTGGGTCTTTTGTCAGATGAGCACTCGTGGAGACTGGAACCCTCCTTGTTGCCAGTGGCAAATATGACAGTCGGTGCCACTTGTCAAGCGAGCAGAGGTAGCTGGGCATTTAATGGGGTGACTTGCCCGTCCTCTGCCGATAAGGTTTGGGAAGAAATTCTTTCACACGCCAGTCACCCTGAGGGGCCGGCTGGCGGATTTTCCTTGCCTTAGATGGTTGAGTGGCGCTTCGTCGGCGGGGAGGCCCGACGTTGCCCCATCAGTCGGACTACCGCTGCTGTACTTGGCTTTGCCTTCGCGATGAAAAACACACTTGTGAGATCACCTCGTCTTCAAAGTCGGCATAGTCGTAGGCATGCGGCGTCGCATCAAGTTCCCGAGAGGGGCCAGTGATGCGCTAGCATCCAGCTTGGCCGGGCCTTCATTGCCTTTCGCCAGTGGCCCCTAAGAGGCCTGGCCAAGTTTGGGGCCTCGGTGCCTGTCCGACCTGATTGTTGGATTCCAGTTTCGGTCCGATCCAGCGTGCGCCATTCAGATGTTTGTCGGTCCAGTTCGATGGCTCGAAGGGTGAATTTCTCGCCTTCGGCGAGAGCCAACGCAAGTAAACCGAGGACCTGTTCCGCTGGCGGAAGCTCGGTGCCGCAAACCAGGCAGCCCGCGCATCGGTTCTCGGCCATAGAGAGGAGACGGCCGCAGGCGGCATTATGTGAGCTGCCAGCGATTGTGAGTTCTGTTCTGCAATGCATTTGAATACGACCATGCCGCCATTTCGTTGCCTATCTCATGAGTAGTGCCCACCAGTGGTGATTGGACAGTTTGACGCGCAAGCGGCGCATTATTAAAACCCCAGGACTTGTCAAGGCTGCCGTGAATGCACCACTGGCCCATTGACACACCGAGAGCGCTATTATCGAAGACGACTACGGCGAATCACCGCCGCCCCTGCCTTTGTGGAAGCGCCTATGTGGCCGAACGTTGAGGCCAGACCTGCCAAGTTATCGGACCATGTGTTCCCCGAATCGGTTTGGAAAACGCCTTCGGGGAACACGTGGGCATCTTGAAGGTCATCTTGGCCGCCTGGAGGCCATTTTGACCTTTTCGGTCCTTCTGGGAGGACGTCTTGGAGGGCTATTGGGCCGGCTTGGAGGCCATCTTGAGCGTCTTGGAGGCCTCTTCGGCCGTCGTGGGGGCCTCTTGGGGCCGTCTTGGGCCTCTTGGGCGATCTTTGGGGGCCGTCTCGGGCCGTCGGAAGGCCGAAACAAGACAAGCAACTGTCACAATCCTTCAAAAACTCATGGGGCATCAATGATGTTGGCCTTGTCGGGCCTTCCTGGAGGCCCTCTTGGAGGCCTCTTGGGCCGTCTTGGGCCATCTTAGGGCCATCTTCGGCCGTCTTGGTGGGCTCCTGGCCCGTCTGATGCCGTCGGAAGCCGTTTGGGGGCCTCCCTGAGCCGTTTTGGGGCCCTCTTGGGATGCTCCAGGGCGGTCTTGGAGGGCCATCTTGGGCGTCTTACACGCCTCCTGGGCCGTCTTGGGGGCCTCTTGGGGCCGTCTTGGGGGCCTCTTGGGCCGTTCTGGGGCCATCTTGGAGGCCTATTGGGCGATCCTTGGGCGATCTTTTGGGGCTCTTGGGCCGTATCGGGCCGTCGGAAGGCCGAAACGAAGCAGATGTCAAAATCCTTCAAACACCTATGGAAAATCTATGTTGTTGGCCTCTTCTGGCCTTCCTAGAGGCCCTCGTGGAGGCCCCTTGGGCCGTCTTGAGCCAGCTTCGAGCCAGCTTCGGCCATCTTGGTGGGCTCCTGGCCCGTCTGACGCCGTCGGAAGCCGTTTGGTGGGCCTCTTTGGGCCGACTTGGGACCCTCCTGGGGTGCCCCAGGGCCGTCTTGGCGGGCCATCTTGGGCGTCTTGGAGGCCTTTTGGCCCATCTTGGGGCCCTCTTGGGGCCGTCTTGGGGGCCTCTTGGGCAGTCCTGAGGCCATCTTGGAGGCCTCGTGGGCGATCTTGGGGCGATCTTGGGGGCCTCTTGGGCCGCCTTGAGCCGCCGAAATGCCGATAAGAAGCAAATGCCAAAATCTCTCAAAAACCTAAGGGAAACCAATGATGTTGGCCTCTTCGGGCCCTCCTGGAGGACCTCTTGGAGGCCTCTTGGGCCGTCTTGGAGGCCTCTTCGAGCCCTATTCGACCGTCTTGGGCCATATTGAGGCTATCTTAGGCTGTCTTAAGTGCATCTTGGGCCATCTTGGAGGCATCTTGGGGCCATCTTGGCCATCTTGGAGGCATCTTGGAGGCCACCTTGAGCCGTCTTGGAGAATGTTTTGTGGACGTTGAGGTCGTTTGCGCGCCTGGAGCTCCCTTCCGGGACCCCGGCGGGACGGGCCGAAGCGCCAGGGGGAGTTCTTTTGGAAAAAAACAAAAACCAAACCGTAAGAAGTCCAGCACGCCAGGCACCCTTGCGATGAGTCGACAGGGAGCGGCGGATCGAAGACGCCTACGGCGAATCACCGCCGCCCCCTGCCTTTTTGGAAGCGCCTATGTGGCCGAACGTCTTGGGCCGTCTTGGTGGCCTCTTGGGGGCCTCTTGGGCCGTCTTGGGCCATCTTCAGGCTATCTTTGGCGGTCTAGGGTGCATCTTGGCCCGTCTTGGAGGCATCTTGGGGCCATCTGAGCCGTCTTGGAGGCCATCTTGGCCGTTTTGGGGACATCTTGGAGACCATCTTGGCCGCCTTCGAGGCCATCGAAGGCGTCTTGGAGGCCCCTTGGGCAGTCTTGGGGCACTCTTGGGGCCGTCTTGGGGCCCTCTTGGGCCGTCATGAGGCCACCTTGGAGGCCTCTTAGGCGATCTTCGGGCGACCTTGGGGGCCTCTTGGGCCGTCTTGGGCCGTCCGAACGCCGAGAAGGCGCACATGCCACAATCATTCAAAAACCTAGAAGCAAGTCAATTATGTTGACCTCTGCGGGCCTTCCTGGAGGACCTCTTGGAGGCCTCTTTGGCCATCTTGGAGGCCTCTTGGGGGCCTGTTGGGCCTATCTAAGTTCGTCTTGAGGGCATCTTGGGCCGTCTTGGAGGCACCTTTGGGCCAACTTAGCCGTCTTGGAGGCCATCTTGGCCGTCTTGGAGGCATCTTGGAGGCCATCTTGGGCGTCTTGGAGGCCTCTTGTGACGTTTGGGGGCCCTCTTGGGGCCGTCTTGGGGGCCTCTGGGGCAGTTCTGAGGCCATCTTGGAGGCCTCTTGGGCGATCTTGGGGCGATCTTGGGGGTCTCTTGTGCCGTCTGGGGCCGTCGGAAAGCCGAAAAGGCACAAATGTCAAAATCCTTAACATACCTGAGGAAAAGTAATGATTTTGACCTCTTCGGGCCTTTTCAGAGGACCTCTTGGATGCCTCTTGGGCCGTCTTGGAGGCCTCTTAGGGGCCTCGTAGGGGCCTCTTGGGCCGTCTTGGGCAATCTTCAGACCGTCTTAGGCCGTCTTGGGTACATCTCAGGCCGTCTTGGAGGCATCTTGGGGCCATCTGAGCCGTCTTGGAGGCCATCTTGGCCGTTTTGGAGGCATCTTGGCCGTCTTGGAGGCCATCTTGGGGCCGTCTGGGGCAGGAACACCGTTTGCAACCACCTCTTCCGGGTGGCCGGCGGGACGGGCCGAAGCCCCAGGGGGAGCTCTTTTGGAAAAAGAACCAAAACCAGAAGCCATATAGTCTGGCACGCCAGGCACCCCTTTGATACATCAAAAGGGGCGGCGGATCGACTGGCTTTCGGCCCATCCCGCCACCGTGCCTGTGCATTGACCAGAAGCTTTTTCGAGGCCTCCAGGGGGTTCTTGGGAGGCCCTTCGGGAGCGTCTTGGAGACCCCTGTGGGGCTTCTTGAGGGTGCCTCTTGGAGGTCTCTTGGGAACCTCCTGTAGCTTCGTGGCCTGTAGCTTCGTGGGGGTCTCGGAGGACCTCTTTGCGGCCTCTCGGGGCCAACTGGCCGTCTCGAGGGCGACCTTGGGGTCGAGGGCTCCAGATGTAAGTTCGAGTTCCCCCTCTTCAGCCCCTCGTGGGGACATTGGGGGCCTCTTGGGGACGTTGGGGGGGTCTCGGGGCGACTGCTGGGGCCTCCCGTATCGTCCTGGACGATTTTGATACCGAACAGGCGAGCATGAGAAATTCATTGAAACACGTATGGCTTGTTCAATGTTTTGGGGATGAGTGGGCGCGTGGATTCCCAGTTACACGTCCAGGCTTTGTGGAACAAAGAGCACCCACTACCGCCTGAGAGCGCACATGCATTTAATACTGTTGGCTTTGGGTTCTTTGAAACGTGTTTGCAATGTTCAGTGCCGCCGGATGGTATCTCGAGGCTTAGCAGCGAGCCCACGAAGCAGACCAGTCGCTGTCAGTGCAGAAGACTCACAGGTACTTGAGGACACAGCGGCATCAACATCTGGGGCTTCGACCTTGCTGCGGATGGCAAGAGATGGCCCAAGACGGCCCCATGAGGTCCCCAGGAAGGCTCCCGAACGCCCTGGGGCTGCGCCCAGGCGCTCCCAGGGTGGGCCAGGGCGGCCTCTACACTCGAAACTGATGATCAGGATGGGTCGCCTTCCCAAGGGTACCCTTGCATCCTTGCCTCCTCGCTTTATTACTAACACTCGCTGGCCAGCCCCGCTCGAAGAGCCTCGACATGGGCGTCCAAGGGGCCTGCATCCTTACAATCAGTTTTGACTGTATCACGGCCCTAGCGGCAACGAGCCCAGATCTTGTCCGATTGCGGTTCGGGCAGGCAGCTCGACAAGCGGCCAGGCAAGCCGTCGCGCGAGAGGTTGCGGAGGGCCGCGGCTCCCCGAGAACACTCCAGATGTTCTGGCGCCTTTCTTACGCAGGATGAAAGGTCCCCCTCTTGATCCGAAAGGGGAGACAAGGCACAAGCATGAACCTTCGGAGGTCCGCGCGGAGTTCTCGCATCGGTGCTGGAGCCCCTTTTGAGGTGGGGGCCAGCGCCCATCAGGAAGTCCGCGCAGACCTCCGAGAATTGTTGTGTTTTCTATCACTGCTGGTTCCCCGACTGACAACCCGCATAGTAAGGATGAGCAATGTTCCAAGACTGCCCTTACATCCTTCCCCATCGGCCCATCCTTGGCCGCTTTCGTTGGCCGCGCCCCTCTCGCGAAGTGTCGACATGGCCCTCCAAGGCCCTTGCACCCTTATCGTGCATCCTTGTTCTACGGATTGGCTGTATGTTGTCGCATGGCGGAGGGATTCCCTCTTGACGTGCGAGCTGCGACGCTACGTGCCGCACGGGCGGGCGGCAATCAGATCCAGAGGTCAACCGCAACTCCAAGCATAGTCAACATCGGACCCGCGCGCCCTGCTTGAGAGCGGTTGCAGCGCGCCCTGAACGTGAGGATGAGGATGAGGAGGATGAGGAGGAGGAGGAGGGTGGGCAGGACCCGTAGTCATTTTGGCTCAAGGCTAGACGGAGAACGCTAAAGTAACATAGCCGATTCTGATTAGCTTTGGGTAACTTCCGTCGCTCATTCTCGAGCGGCGTGGCAACTCACCTCCTCGTCGTGAGTCGGGTCCCGACGGCGACGGTACCTGTATCCATCTCTGCCAGAAACATTTGGCAAGGTCCTTGCCTGCCCACGCACCATCGAGGACCTCCCCCGAGCTTGATGACGATAGCGAGGGGTCCCGCCGCTCCAGGTCCAAGGAACCGTCGGGGACCCGGCAGCACAAGGGTGACGCTCCGAGAGTGGCTGGTGGGCGTCGGCCTCTTGATCCGATGCAGACTGCTGAACCTTGGCACCGTGGACGTCAGAGGGGGTACGCCTGCTGCTTCGACCTCGGACGGTGGCGATGCTGAGCCGTCCACGGACCCGCGGATGGCCCAAGCATCGATGAGTTCCTCCAGGATTTCAAGCAGGAGCTCGCGGTCACCCTGGACCAACGCTTCGCGCGGCCAAGGACACGATGGTGCAGCAGGTCAGTGTATGTATTTCTATCCTGGTCAAGGCGGTCGCGGCACAGCAGGAACAAGCCAATTCACAGCTTCCAGGGGAATGGAGGAACTACGCCGCCGGCAAGACCAGCAGGAGGAGGTGCAGAAGAGCATGCGGGAACAGCTCGAGGACCTCCGCAAGCAGGTCTACCTAGCGAAGCCGACGGTTTCCATCAAGGGCTACGAGGGCTTGCTGGAGTGGGAATCGCCCCCCAGACGGCACGCTTTTGGTGGCGACGGTAGCGGCGAACGTCACCATCGACTTTGCGTGATGCTGAGTTGGAGAGTTCCCAGTGGGAGTTGCATGGGCCCTCCCCAGGACGCAGACTCGTGCTCCAGATCTCTGGGGACACCAACGCTGCGGCCAGGAAGGTCCAGAAGGTTCGGCGGCGTCTCAATCAGGCGGACGGCAGTTGGCGCAGATTCGAGACGACCACCATCGAGGGCGGCACCGCTCAGATCTACGTGGGGCTGGACAAGGCCGCGCGGATGGTACGCCAAGGGACTCAGACCAAAAAGCTCGCTGCGCTTGCCAAGGAGCTCCACACGCAGAAACGGGCTCGACATGATTGTATTCAGGGCATAATCGATGCGGAAGGAACTCCAGCGATTCAGTTGGAGGTGGGAGCGGAGCTGGACCAAAACACCAATCAGGAGCAGGAGCCGACTGTGTGGATCCCGCCTCGCGCTTCAACAGCATCTACCATGCCTCTGAGGAGGTTAGGCAGCGTATTTAATCAAATGAGGATGCCGCGGGTATCCTCGCTCTCGTCTTCTGCGTCTCCACCCCCGCCTACCTTCGCCACCTGGAACACGCGGGCTTTGTTTCATCGCAATCTTGTTCGTCGTAAGGATAAATGTCATCGGCTCCGTGATCTGCTGGGCCCACACAGCGCCGGTGCTCCACAGGAGGTCCATGGGACTTCGGAAGAACTGCGAGGGCAGTTGTACCTTTCACAAGCGCGTGCGGCCTCGTTCTCCTCTACACCCAGGTGCGATGCGGGAGGGGTGGCGATTCTCATCAGTGGTCTGTCGCGTGAAGAGGCCAACCGTGCTGAGCTGGAGGGCCGCATGCTTTGCGTTGTCACCGGTTCCATATTCGTGTTGGCGCGGGCTCGTTGAGTTCTCGGGACGCGATGCTGGTCATAGACGACATTCACAATTCCAACCTTGGCGTGAACGACGCCGATCAGCCCCTGGAGCGGATCGCAGTAGAAGTCGAGATCGCTGAGGCGAGCCCTCTCCGCACAGCGGTCATGGTGCTCGGCGACCTCAACTACTACGAGAAGGCCACCATGTACATGAGCACGCCTGAGATTTACAAGGGTCTCATGTCGCGCGCCCCCCCCCCCCCCCCCCGCTATCGCGAACGGCCGTGGTGGAGCTCGACCATGAGCAGCCCACCCACTTCATAGCGCATTTGGACAAAGGGTATGCGTCGACACCAGGGTGGAAATTTTTGAAATGGCAGCTGTCTGCAACAGTGCTGGACCGACCCGAGCACCTTCATGAACGGGGCACATCGGATCACGTTCCGCTGAGGGCCACATACGGTCTCTGACAAAGCCAGGGCAGGGCCAGCCCATTCCCCGATATTTCGGTGAGTCCCCTGCCTTGAAGCACTACCTCTCCTTGCTTCCTCAATTCACCCCCTTCTCGCGCTCCCTCCTATTCCTACATGGCGAGAGCGCAAGCGTCTGCTTCGGTTTGCGCCCGGGCGGCCCGACCTGATGCGATCGAGGTCCAGGCGCCCGGGGCCCAGGCGCCCGAGGTTGAAAGCAAGTTTTTGGTTTCGCGCTCGATCTCTAGGGCTGCGAACGCTGACGACGCGCGGCTAGCGGCGCGTATCCTTGACTCTGCTCCGATCGCCACCAGCCACCTGCAAGTGTTGCAATATGGGACTGTCTGGTCAAGGTCGGCCGTCGTCTTCCTTCGCGAGTTCGAATTCCTTCAGCGGCAGTTGCAGGGCAGCCGCCTGGCGAGGGCTGAGACGGCGATCAAGGGCCCCATTGCGCGGCGGTAGAAAAGGAGGCTTCGTGCTGACATGAGAGCTCGGCGACGTCGCGGCCAATTGTTGGCGCCCAGCCACAAATCTCTTCCCCAGGCCCTCGTTGGCCCCTCAGGCTCTGCGGCGAGGGGCCCCAGAGAGATGGTCAACGCTCTCCGTGAACACTGGGCGCCTGCTTTTTCCTGGAAGAGCGCCCCCCTTCCTGGGCCCAAGCCAATTTGAAGCAACGTGCCCGCCAGTTCGACAGGGCACCGGCAGCGCCTCCCACGGTCTCTCAGACCCCAACCTCGCTTCGCAGGGCCAAGCCGACTGCGCCTGGCCCTGATGGCCCCCCATGCGCCGCCCGGGGGCATCGGCGCTCGGCAGAGACCCCCTCCGATGCAATGCAGGAGTTGATGCGCGGCCGCCCGCCGCCTGTCGGCATGAACGACTTGCTGCTAGACTTTTGCACCCAAGGGCGGCGATGGGGGAGGATCCCACTTGCGTCGTCCGAGAGCCAGGAGCGATCCGCCCGCCCGCTTTGAAGAATGCAGACACCAAGATTGTTTCGAGTTCTCTGAATCACAATTTTTCATATCAACGGAGTCTGCAGGCCCAGCCTGACCAGCGAGGCCTCCAGATGTCCCGCAGTTGCATGATCAACATCACCCTCCTCGGTCCGACGGCTCGCATCGTGGGCATGCCATCGCGGGCCGCCCCCTTTCGCCCCCTGCCCCTACACCTCGACTTCGGCGACGCCTTTCCATCCCTCACCCATGTCTTCTCATGGGGGGCTTACATGCTGTTGGGCCCCTGCGCGGGTTCATCTCGCTCGCGCAGGCCGCCTACCGTTTCGCCGTTGCTCGCGCCCCCCTCCTGGGCACTCCAGAGGTCTTTGGGCTCATCGTGTCTGGGGTCATGCAAGGGGGCCCCTTCAGTGGATCGGCCTGGGCCCTTGCGATGGGCCCGATGCTGCGTGATTTAAAGGGGCGCCTTGATCGATTCAAGGGGTCGGAGGCTGGCGCGCGCGCGGACGACGCGGGGGGGGGGCTCTTACTTCGTGCATGGCGCCCCCACAAGTGCAATGTGTTTTTTTTGTCCGCAGAAGCTCTCGCTGGCCTCGCGTTAAAAATGCCGAAATGCCGCGTCGTTCCGCTTGAAGGCGAGTCCACTCCAGCGCTTGCAGCTACGTTTCCGCTTATGCCCTGCTGGGCCCCCAGTGGACATTGGCCTCCATCGCGGCGGCGGCCGAGTGTCTCGGAGCGTGGTTTGGCCCTGCTGTGGCGAACGAGTCGCGCGATCGGGTCTTTCGTGAGTGGGTGGAGGTGGTGCGGAACATCTTGAGGTCGCAGAATTGGTGCAACCAGGAGTCGTGTGATTTTCGCGCAAGGAGCTTGAAGGTTTCCGTTCGGGGTTCCAAAATCGACCGCCCCCGACTTGTTCTGAGGCGCGTTTTGACCATATTTTCGAGGCCCCACGTGGGCACTAACGTGCCGAGAGGGCCCAAGCGCTTGGAATCCGAGGCGGGGGTTCATCCATATAAACCGCCTGGAGGATCGATCTTCGGGGGACTTCGGCAGGCACTGGATGCGGATATATTCGGGCCGCACAGGGCCCCGAACACATCCGTGACCGCCGCCCCCTGGGGCCCCAAGAGGTCGGTTCCAGGCGGTGACAGACTGACTGACAACGGCCGCGCATCCCTGGCAGACGCGCAGGCGAAGCAGAAAGTTCAGCGCGCTCATCGAGGCATGCACGCAGGTAGAACCCGTCGTAAGCAGAGGTTGCCCACTGTTGCCCGCGGCGCCCCCGGCGCCTGTGGCAAGCCCAGTTTCTGGAAGCGCCGTCGCCGTTGCAAACAAGTCGCCTCGCAAGCGAGCCGTCGGTTCCAGGCGGTGGGCGCGGATAGACCCCTGCCTCGCCGGGGGCCCGAGGCCCGGGCCCGCCGCCCCTCCGCCGCGCAGGGCGGGCCGCCGGCGGCGGCGGCCACGGCGACGGCGTCGCCGCCGGCGGCGTCACCGTCGTCGACGGCGGCGATGGCGTCGTCGTCGAAGGCGCCTTGGTCGCGGTCGCGGCCGCTTTCGTGCTCGCGGCCGCCGCCGTGGCCGCGGCCGCCGTGGCTTTGTATCGGGGAGTAAGAAGTGGCACAAGCATGAAGCTCCGGAGCCCCCCTGCGGAATTCTCCCATCGGCGCTGGAGCCCCTGGCGGCGTCTCTTGCGCCGCCCCTAGCGCTTTCCGCGCGCCGCGGGGGGGGGGTGGGGGTCCAGGACATCCGCGCGGACCTCCGAAAGTTCATGTTTGTGCCACTGCTTGTTCGTCCATTCTGTCGCAGTGCGAAGGGCCCCCCTCTCGGCGCGCGAGCTGCGACGCTCCGCGGCTCGCGAGCGGGCGGCAATCATATCTAGAGGTCAACCGCAACTCCAAGCATAATCGAAACCAGACCCGCTCGCCATGCATGAGAACGGCTGCAGCGCCACTCATGCATATCATTGTAGCCGGATCTCAAGACGTCCGTAATTGGCCCAGGATGAACGGATTGTCTCGATTGGAACGCGCCTTTCGGCTTTAGCCATGCTGCTCGCCAGAGGTACCATCGCTGACATGAACGTCGACGTCGCGTCGTTCCCGTCGACTGCGACGTCGTGGCCGTCATAGACGTCGCCGAGTTCAAAGACGTCGTCGGCGTTGCTGACGTTGGCGTCAGCAGGAGACGTCAACGGAGTAGTCGACGTCGGTTCGGCGTCGACGCCCATATATGGTCCAGGGCTTGGGCCCCCCCCCCCAATGCTGATGCCATTGGGCCCCCACCCACCCCCCGCGCGATGGCCCCCCCCGCCCCCCCCTGTGGGCGTGGCGTGGTGCTGCGCTGCGGTGCCCCCCTCCTCCCCCCCCCCCTGTGGATGTGGTGTGGTGCTGTGGTGGTTCAGAAGTGGGCGTGGCGTGGTGCTGCGCTGCGGTGCCCCCCTCCCCCCCCCTGTGGATGTGGTGCGGTGTTGTGGTGGTTCAGAAGTGGGCGTGGCGTGGTGCTGCGCTGCGGTGCCCCCCTCTCCCCCCCCCTCCTGTGGATGTGGTGTGGTGCTGTCGTCCTCGTCGTCCTCGTCGTCCTCGTTGTTCTCGTCGTCGTCGTCGTCGTCATCGTCGTCGTCGTCGTCATCGTCGTCGTCGCCGTCGTCATCTTCGTCATCGTCGTCGTCGCCGCCGCCGCCGGCGTCGTCGCCGCCGCAGCCGTCGTCGTCGTCGTCGTGGTCGTCGTCGTCGTCGTCGCCGCCGTCGTAGTCGTCGCCGTCGTCGTCGTCGCCGTCGTCGTCGTCGTCGTCGTCTCTGGGACCATACCATCTGGGGGGGGGCCGAGGAATCCTGGGACCATACCATCTGGGGGGTGGGGGCCGTGAACCCTCGACCCTGGATCATATATATATATATACACACATCATTGTCGCCGTCGTCGACGTCGTGCGCCTGTACTGCAGGCCGTGGCCATCCGCTCGTGTTTTTTTGCCTTCTGCCTTTGTTTGTTCCTCTGCCGATGTTCCTTTGCCGCTGTCTGTCCCTATGCTGCCAATGTTTGTTCCTCTGACATTGTTTGTTCCTTTGCCATTGCTTGATCCTCTGCCACTTTGCGTTTCTCTGCCATTGTTAATTCCTCTGCGCTTGTTTGTTCCTCTGGCATTGTTGGGCCTCGCTGGTGTCCATGTCGACGTCGTCACGGTCCTGGCTCGTTTCTGTAGCCGCGTCCTGCCGATGCGACTGGGGTTGCCCCCGAGGGCCAAGAAGACCGATGAGGAGGGAACTATGGACAAATTGAGGACATCATCGTCGACATCGCCGACGTCGTGTGCCATTGCTTGTGCCTCTGCTGCCCGCCGTGGACAGCCGCTCGGGAGGAGGAGGAGGAGCAGGAGGAGGAACAGGAGGAGGAGGAACAGAAGGAGGAGGAGGAGGAGGAGGAGGAGGAGGAGGAGTATGCGGAGGCGCCACCCGCCTCGCCCCCCCCATTTGGGCATGCGGTGGCGTAGGTGGCCTATGGCGCGGACAACCGTGTTCGCGTCGTCTACTATCGAGGGCTTCGAGGCGGCAGGGAGCTGCGGCCGCTTGGAGGGAATCTGATGAGGCCCCCACGCGGCCGCTCTTGGC